GGGGAGAAGCAAGATGTTATTTCTCTTGGGCCCTACAACAAAGGCAAAGTTTTGATATGTTCATGGGCATTTCATTAGTGAGATCTGTTTTTTCTTCACCTGACACCTCCAGGAAACTAGTTAAGATTAATGGTATTAATTATTAATTAATGGTATTAATTATTAATAATGGGCTTATCTGAGGGACAGTTCCCAGGAGCCAGCACACAGGTTCAACTCCACTTGTATGACTTTGAGCAGTTCACTTTACTATTCTGTGCCTCAGTTTCCTTGTCTTTAAAGTGGGTTTGGTAGTGGTGCCTACTTCATAGCATTTTGATGAGAATTAATTTAACTGAAGTAAATAAGGCAGCTATATAAGTATGCAATATCTATTGGTGCTAATTATTAAGTAGCAAGCACTGAATCAAGTGTTTGACGTAGCTCATGAGATAGTCCCACAGATCTGGACAGACCAGTGTTGTTATCCCACCGAGGAGGATGCTGAGTGTCAGGCTAAAAATTCAACTGGTTGTGTAACCTGGAATAGTAGGGTCTGGATCTCAAGCAGCTTTGAACATGCCCACATATGGCTGAGCCGTGGACCCTCCTGTGAATTTGGTGCTGGAGTCTAGGCTATAGCATATAAAGACTCCAGATTCCTTTTCCTCTCCTTGGCAGGTCTGCTAGCTGCTGGGCTCTGAAACTGCTTCGTCCTGCCCACAGCATGTGGTAATAAGCACTCTAAAAGCCTAGATGACATTGCTTGCATCTTAAAAGTGGCATAGTCTGTGTCTTCACTGAGTCCCTCCCGTCTCTTGGAGGAATAGACTTGGGTCAGTGTACTCATTACACTATTCAGGAGATGTTTTTTGGAGACCAGAGGGCTCAAGAGAAAACATTTTTAATATATTTCCAGTTGGAAATCTTGTCTGAGAGATGTGATTGGCCATTTAATATATGCTTCTTGAGTTAAAATCACTCCCAAGTACCCAAAGTCTCTGTTTCTCAGGAGATGCCACAGATGTCTCGGGAGGCCATCTTCCCTACAGGGATTTGCAGTGCGGCCATCACCATTGCTGTGGACACTAATGCTCTGTAGAGGTGTTCTGTGGCTCATGGCTACTCACATCTCACCATTACTTTCATGCTCCTTAAACCTTGGCAATAATGTCAGCTATACATTGGTGAGGTAGAGAGGTCAGAAAGATTACCTAGCTCAGGGTTAGGAGTAGCAGCTAGTGCTTAAGCCTGGGGGCACTTTACCACTATGACCTCCTTGAACTTGGCATGTTTTTTCATGCATTCCACTTCCTAGGGCCCTGGATATAGCTCAGCAGCACAAGTGCCTGCCTGGCAAGTACAAGGTCCTGAGTTCTATTCCTGGTACTAAAAGAAAAAAAAAAAAGCACTTCCTGTGCCTTACATTCTATATCTGAAAAGCGGGGCTAAAAATAGTACCCACTCTACAGGGTTGTTTGAAGGATAAAAATGAGTTAATACTTGTAAAATGCTTACAAGAGTGCCTGGAATCCTTAGTAAGCGCATGATAAGTTTTAGCTACTATTGTTGCTGTTGGTATTATTAATACCCTTCAGGTAATAATTTGACTTTGTGCAAGTATTAGGGAAGACTGTTGGCATATATTCATAAATTGTCAGGGCTGAAAGCATACATGGCCCGGCATCCTTGGTCCTTTTTAAGACAAAAAGAATGCAGAGGAAAAGGACTCTGAATGCTTGTAGGATGGTAGACCTAAAAAGAAGTGTTTGACCCCATATTTGCAATTCCTAAGTGGCCAAATGGCATGAGAATTAGCAGTTAGACCTTTCTGTGAGATTAAGATAAGTGCAAGCTGTGGAATTTTCTCTTTTCCACTGGCTCACTTGTTTAGCAGCCTTTTGCAGATACCTGCAACGTGTCAGGCCTGGCTTAAGTCTCAAAGTCTAAGGAGGCTGCAGGTTGAGTTTTTGGGTTTCATCCTGGCTTACCCAGCCCATGCGCACACACATCCACTTGTATGTGTGTATATCAACACATTCACACAATACGTGCATGCACTGTCTGTAAAGTTAGGTTGTCTGCTGCACATAGAACTCAAGGGATATCTTCCAAAAGTCTCAGCCTAGATTAGTTTCTCTTATATTTGCATATTCTGTCTACCAGGTAGCAAGCTAGAATTGTTTTACTAAGAAAAACTGATTTGCAGCTGTCCACACCGCAGACTTTATTTTTAATCCAGGGAGTGACAGCACCTTGCCTGCCAGGAGCAGATAGATAATTTGCTCCTCCTAGCATTTGTCAGAAGGCTCCTTTAGCGGCCTGTCCTCCACAAAGCTGACTAGGACGCTTCATTTTTCTTTTCTATGCTGGGCAAGGAGAGGGCCTGGAAAGGCTGTCACTCAGAGGGACAGGTTCCCTTTGTGAGAGCGGCCAGCTGAGCCTGAAGCTGAAAATGCCAGCAAAAGCAAATAGTGTTTCAAAAGGGCCTTGTGTGTTTGCTTCCTCTCGATTCTCATTGCCTCATCCACCAGGTGTTGCCTGAGTGACTTTGGAGGACCTGTTAGACCTGATAAAGAATCAGCCGCACAAAAACACATTCTCTCCATTTCACCTTTGTGTTTTGTTGCTTGAGTTTTGTTGCTGTTGCTTTTACTTTTTTAAGCACCTACTTACTAATGACACAAACAGAGCAAAAGGAAAATAACTATCTTTTGAAGCTTTGTTTCTTATTTATTCTTGTGTAATTTTCAGAATGAAGGAAGATAATATGGAATTTTATTTGTTCTCTTTCTACTTGTGCATTTGCTAGACACGTTTTTTAGTGTTTGGAGCCTGCTTCCTGTTCTAGAAGAAAGATGACAACTGCAGTGTATTGACCCTGTCTTGGTCCTCATGAAACAGTTTAGCTGGGCCTCTCCTCTTTCTGCAGGTGTTTCAGGAATATGAAAAGATCTCTGGCTGTGTAGCAAAGTGGTTCAGAGCATGGGTTTTGGTGTTGAACAGATCTGATGTCTAGCTCTGCCATTTAATAACTGGCTGACTTTGAGAAGTTGTTTATTGTCCTGAAGTTCAGTTTCTTCATCTTTACATAATGCATATATATCTAAAACTCATTCCTCAGGGTTCTGGTGAAGGTGATACACACAGAGCTTCAAAGGTGCTGCGTACTGCAGTAAGGAGGGATCACTTCTCTGCCATCAGCTCTGGCTTGTAGAACAAAGACATGGGGTTTAGGAGGAGCTTTTAGTTCTACACAAAAATACTTCCTTGGGATGCTCACTTCTCTGAGTCTCAATTTTCCTGTTGGAATATAAGCAGCATTTTCCTAAGCTCCTTCTGGACTTACCCAAGGTGAAATCTAGTCTAGATTCTAGACCTGGCTCTTAACTAACACGGACTGATGCCTGGCCCCTGGGCCATCGTCCAGAGACAACAGTCGCAGGTCTCCCCTGAGAAGGGCTGTTGCTGAGGATCGAGGAGCTGCTCGGGAGCAATCCAACGTTACGAGGGCAGTTCAGTCCCTTAACTTTCCCAGGTGGAGTTTACTCAAGTGCACACCGGGGATAGTAGAGTCCTAAATGAGTAACAAGTTTTCAGTTGAGGTCTTTGAAGTCTTTTGAGATTGTTACACACAGGATCAAATAGAATAGAATGATTTTCAAGCTCCTGAGAGGGATTTCAGATTAATGTCCACAAAGCTCACAAAACTCATTGTATTAAATAATCATTTACCCAGGTGATACCAGTTGCACTTCATTTCCAATGCCATTAACTCTTGGGAGCAAATGGCAGGTCTTGGGACTATCGATTAGAAATGGGTTTTGGGGAGAATTTTAATGGACTATTCATTCCTTCCACCAATATTTGATGAATACAGCACCAGCTCTCAGGCAGCCACTGTCATAGGTGTTAGAGATATAGCAGCAAACCAGTGAAAGGCCTATCCCTTTTCAAGCTGTCTTTCCAGGGAGAGGATACGACCCACACATAACCAATGCACACATAGATGAGCATGTTATTGTGAAGACAAGAGTCAGGTGAGGTGAAAGAGAGGCCGGTGCCGCCCAAGGGTATGCAGGGCAAGATTTGGAGGCAGGCAGCTGCAGAGTTGAAATTCTGAAGACAAAAGCAAATCACCCATGTGACTCTCTGAACTTGGAACATTCCATACAGAGGGGAGGGCAGAAGAGTGTCCTCAGAGGGAAAGGAGCTCAGAGTCCCTCAGGGAATGCAAAAAAAGCTTTGTGCTTGAAGCAGAGCAAGCTACTTAGAAGCTAGGGAGGGAGGCTACAGCCAGATTGCATTGGGCTTGACCGTGATAAGCAAATTTATTCTGGGTGCAGTTAGAAGCCGTGGGAGGTCATAAGAGGAAGCAACACCACTTGATTGTGGAAAAATGCTCATAATGCAAGATTAAATGGAAAAGGACTTCCAAATATAGAACTGTATATTTAGTACTATCTATTAAGCCATGCAAGCCTGTGTGTGTGTGTGTGTTATAAAATGTGTGTGTAGTCAGTAAACAAACTAGAGAAATGTATAGCAAATGCTGTAGTTTTCTTTGTGGTGGTGGATTTGTTTTCTTTCCCTTCCTCCCTGGATTTTGTACTTTTTCGTAAGTTTGTGTCACTCTAAATTTATGCTTTTCGAAAGCTTTGTGAGCAAGCAATGGAAAGAATGTAAGACTGACAGTATTTTAGCATATCTTATCTTAAATATGAGCTTAAAGCAATATTGTTTTGTTTGGTTTTTTCTTTCTTTGTCTCCCCACCACCTCCCCATATCAGGAATCTGAACTCATGGCCTTGCACTTGCCAGGCAGGCGCTGTGCCACTTGAACTAAATCCCCAAATCAATATTGTTTTGAATGCCAGAGTGAATGTTGAAGGCCCTGATCAGTAGTTTATTAGCTTTCTAATGAGTCTTCCCTAAAAGAAACTTCTTAAGAGCTCATCTATTTTTTGTATGGTGCAAATTGTTTATGCAAAAGAGCCTAACGTTTCTGTTTCATCCCATAGATTTGAACATCACATGCCGGTATGCAGGTGTGTTCCACGTGGAGAAAAATGGACGCTACAGCATCTCTCGGACAGAGGCAGCTGACCTCTGCAAGGCTTTCAACAGCACCCTACCCACCATGGCCCAGATGGAGCAGGCTCTCAGGAAAGGGTTTGAGACCTGCAGGTAAGAGACCAGCGAGCAGCCGCACTGGGGAAAGCCATAGCCCGGGGCGGGGCTTAGGACTGGAAGGCTCCTCCCTGACAGCTGCATGGATTATTGCCTAAAGAGTCAGCCCCACCTATTAATTTGGCCAAATCAATGTGGAACCAGTATGACAACTGGAATTTAAAGCCAGCTAAACACACCTTTGTGAATCATAGCGAGGGAGGCAAGAGGAAGCCATTAAGGGTCATATCAGCTGGAATCCTCTGGCCTAATGTGCTTCCACAGCGCTCTCCCGCCTTTGAAGGTGCACGCAATATCATTGTCGGAACCACAAGAAAACGTAAAGCAAATAACAGTGTTTAAACTAAATATGTGGCTGGTAGAGTCTTGGCTCTGCAGACTTGGCCCCAAGCAGAGGTTTTAAACATCCCTCTCTTTCTTCTTTGTGTTGCTCTGGTTTGAGGAAGTAAATAAAAAAGTGTGAAAGCATTCAGATATATGAAGATCCATTACTATTAAGATCTCTGACAGGGCTCCTACCAACTACCTCAGTGCTCTGGAGAGCTCTCCTCAAATCATTTTGCTCCAGGATAATCACAGCAGGATGAGACCTTATTTTTCTGAGTTCTACAGCATATGATCCACACAGAGCAAGCCATGGTGGCAAGCAGAGAGAGAGGTTTGGTTTGGGTTGATTTCAGTAGAAAGGGTCTGGATGCTATTAATACATGCTCTGAAGTGCCCACCCCATCCTGGAGCTTAGGTAGCACAACTCCGCTCTGCCTTCAGTGTCCACCCCCCATTGCTTTTGCAAAGCCAAGCTGCAGCTCTCCGTGTGGAAACTATTAAGTGTAAATTCAGTGCATCTATCCCCTGTGCTTGATGACAGGATCATTCTAGCCAGGACTCTTCCTGCAAGAGAAGAGGGAAACCGTTAGTATAAAATTACTGTACTGTGATAGCTACCAACCACTTTTGGCAATTTATACTTGAATTAATTACAATTAAATAATATTAGAACTGGTGGCACTAGCTATATATTAAGGGCTCAATTAGCCACAAATGGCCAGCGGCTACTGTGTTGAATGACATATATATATATATATATATATATATATATATATATATATATAAATACAATTTTCATCATGGAAGAAATTCTCTTGGAGCAGTGCAATACAAGGCACAGAACAGATGGGCTGAAACTTCTGTCTGCATGTGTTCAGAGATAGAGCAGGAGCAAGAAGCAGAGGAAGAGACCACTCTGGTAGCTACTGAACCTGAGGTGTAGGCAGCAATGAAGGAAGACCAGTTAGCAAATTCATGTATTCTATTCCCAAGGCTGATCAGTCAGATCTGGCCCTGACTAGGCCACTAGGCTAAGAAAGGGGAGTTAGTAATACTACCCTGTGGCTGGATATTACTTCTCTACTTTATGGATAAAGCATAGGTCACATTCTCAACTTGTCTTGTGACTCACGGGCTGCGCAGGGAAGAGTCAAGATTATATCCTCTGTAGTCTGAGTCCAGGAGAAGATTTTAAAGACCAAGGCCTCCCCAGGGACTGAGGGCAAAGGAGAAGGAAGTATGTTGCATGGATTTGCTGAGTATTTTTCTTTACCCTGCAAATAGAGAGCTATCAATGCCACATCCAAACATACAACTTAATATCCCCAATTCACGTCTGTAGGGGACTGGTCCACCCTGCCAGTCTACTAATTTATCACCCTGGCCTGGGAGTGGAAGGAGATGAAAGACAAAGAGACACAGTTAGTTTAGCATGGCAGCCAGAGGGCTTTTGCCTCTAGTGGGCAGAGAGCCCCTAGCGTCTGGCTCATGCTGCCTTTATTCCCTCAGACATGGATACAAGCCATTAAAATCACATAAGATTCATCTGCCTTCCAATATCCATTAGTACCTGCTCAGGTAAACAACTTGATCTTGGCTGTATTGACTTTTCCCTAGAACCTGCAACATGCCATCACCCCTACGTGCAGCCTTTCCCCTTTGTGCTCACAGAGAAGGCCAATTAGGCCTCCACTCTCCCTAACCGGTCTCCCACACATATCAGTATATTTCCGTAAGCAACAGGCAATTGAGCCATAACTTACAAAGCGACTGTATTAGATTTTAGAGTGTCAGTGATATGCATAGTTGTCAAGATGGTGTGATAGGGGAATAAGTCCACCAAGGAGTACTGTTTAGAAAAAAGAAAAGAAAGGAAAATTGTGCCAAAGTAGTCTATCATTTCACCTATAACTGGCATTAAGTATTGCAAAATTTATTTCCATACTTTCACTTAGGTAGCTATGAATCAGATGCCTGCGCAGGACAGACGGCAGAGTCTCATAGGGTAGGATAAAACCTCAGCAGCTACTACTCTTTTACCTGCCCCACCCTGATTAGTAGCAACTCTCATACATGGAAACTTATTAACACTTAACTGACCCCTCCCCCCATTGGGTGGAGCGGACTTTGGGGAAACCAGTCTGTCGGTGCAGGTAGGAATTAGTCATGCGAGCTACTGTTGCAACACAGACATAATGAGTTCTAGGTGCTTAGAAATCTCCAACTCTTACACTTTTCTCTGGGTCTTACAGGACGATGCACTCTTAAGCTGTTGCCTCTGGCAGGAAAGATTAAAACACAGATCATTTTAGCCAGCATTGCATTTTCAAAAACCAGCTGGATTTAACTCTTCTCTCCCTGTCCTCCTAAAGTTATCACTTTCTCCCTTGCAAATGGTAGCTTTGCAGCCCACCTTTCATTGTTTGGGTCAGCTTCTCTTTGGAAAAATAATGCCATATGAGTATATAGCCACCCGCGTGATTCTAGAAGCAGCTGGACTCTGTACCTTGGATCTGAAAAGGCCTCCAGCTATCTCGTGCTCCCAGAAACATCTGCGTAGGGAGCCGGGGGCTAAATGTTTTACTAGCTTTGCTGCTTCTGGAATGTTACTGAGCAAAACAGAGCCATGCCATCTGTTCACTTAATGTGGTCACTCTCATTTTAATGGAGGTCTGTTTAGCTCCACTGGTGGTAGAATTAGGCCTGGGATGCTCTTGAGACAAAATATGGCGGTGTTCGGCACATGAACGAGACTTTGCGTTTAGAATAATGGAGTGCGACGTGAAAAGGTGAGGCCAGGGAGAAAAGGTGGTGGATGGGAAATGAGGCAGGTCTGAAATTTGTGCGTTGGAATGAGGAACCACCTCTTCCCATCTTAGGGAAGTGGGCCATGTTGTGTCTTGTCCAGAAAATATAAAGGTGTTTGAGTGCCAGGGTGAAGCTCACATTGTATTCTTTCTTTCGTACTCGGGCTTTCTTCTGCTTGTTTCAGCCAACTCAACGCCGAATGCCGCTGACCACCAGTTACATTTGAGACTAATGTTTTTCATGAATTTTCTTTCTTTAATAAAGAAAGAGCTGCTCCTGGGTCTTTAAATAAAATCACTTTGTGTCTATCTGCCTTGTTGATCTCTTTCACTCTCCTGTGCTGTGATTGATGGATTTCACATAACTCAGCTGTTGAGACCTCCAACATCCCTGGGGAAAAACGGAATGAAGCATTGCATGGCTTTAGATGGCACTTGAAGGGATCTTAGGAAGTTTCTGCTGCAGCCTTGCAGGTTTATAACCTCTCATTTTTCCTTGGCAGGTATGGGTTCATTGAAGGGCATGTAGTGATCCCCCGGATCACCCCCAATGCCATCTGTGCCGCCAACAACACGGGAGTGTACATCCTCACATCCAACACCTCCCACTACGACACATACTGCTTCAATGCCTCAGGTTAGTCCAAATGCACGGTCTTTGTGTTATCTTTGGTGGCGTGGCTGGATAGTAGCAGCTTAGTTGTGGCTCAGGTGGAGATGCAGGCAGCTTCCAGTCATATAACAAAGACTTATTTACTGCGTCCACAGCAGAGATGAGATTCCTGTCTCCATGGTGCGTACACGTGCTAGTTGGGGAACAATCAGAAAACAATAAATATTAAACACTTTGCATGAAGTCAAAGAAAGAGAAAAACAAAATGCAAAGATACAAAGTCCTAGGAATTTTTTTTTTTTTTTTGGCCAGAGAAACAGAACCAGGGAAAACATTCCCTTGAGATGTATATTGACTATAATGAAGGAGTGAAGCTATTGGCAGAAGGGGAGGCCAGTGCTAAGCCAGCACGCAGTAGCATCTTGTCCTGTTCCAGGCAGGCCAGGGTCCTGACATCCGGTGATCAGCAGGGAAAGTGTCAGGAAATGGCGTCAGAGAGCTAAGCAGGGGTGAGATCACACAGAGCAATCTATTCTCAGTGTGAAGGGAAGTCATTGTGGGTTTGGCTAAGGGTGTTGTGAATCTGGTGAGAGTTTGGGGGTACAAATGACTTAGCTGAGAGTATTTGTTTTATGTGGAAGGTTAGGAAGATACAGGATAGGCAAGAAGGCCAGCCCTTCCTGAATGTCCCTTACCAACAGTTGAGACTATATTAGAGACTGAGAAAGCTATGAGAAGATGTCAATGCTAGACTGCTGGCCAGCCTGTTTCTCTCTCTATAAAACTTTGTTCCAATCAGTAGCAGAAATTTGTGCTTACCCGTCTAACTTGAGCCCCAGAAAAATCAAAGAATTCTGCACATCAAATCTTCAGGATCCTTTGAGGTCCAAATCATAAATGTACAATGTTTGAATGCCAGCAATTAAAAGTCACCTCTCAGCCTGAACCTTCAAGTACCCCCCTGAAAGGGAAAGGCAAAGCCTTGAGGTAAATTTGACACATCTTCCTGGAATTTCAGGCTCCTTTAATGATGGAAAAGGGCATCAAATCAGCTGAAAAGTAGCCTAAGACATTATCCACATCAGAAACGTAGGTTTAGGTACAGTGATAGAATATAAAATCTAAGAGGATTTTTAAGCTTAAAAGGGGGCCTGAAAGACCTTGTGAGGTTACATTACTGTTGGCGCTACAACACTCACTGACTGTTGCATAAACAGTAAGGTTCACAGTGGAAATTCAGAGAGGGAAATCTGGACTTTCAGAGAAAAAGACAGTATTAGGGCTGGATATTTGACATGAAATATATGAAACCCATAAATTATATCAAATATATATAGTTTACTAAATGTATGAAGACACACAAACCAAAGAAAATCGTAGATTTTCTCCTCCTCTTGTATGAACAAAAATCACAAATGGAATTTGATCAAAAGGAAGAAAGTCCAATGGAGGTTAGATACTACATGTTCCATACCCTAGATGCCCGTTCTATTATAATAAACAAAGCCACATACAGTTAAACTGGAACTAGACACAGAGTGACATGGGGTCCAGCTGGCTCCATCTTGCCACACAGGGTCAGAGATGAAGGGACTGGTCAGGTGGTAGAGGCCTGGCATGAGCCTATACCCTCAGGGTCTCTAGGTACTGCTAGTTGCTTCTCCTGTTGGCTCTCGTCCAGGGAAAGTATGCAATAAATTATGTAGCTGTGTTCCCACATTGTCTTGCCTGTTTTACAAGTTGGTGTCACTTTGAATTAAGGTTTTGAGAGTCTTAATTCAAAAAGGCAAAAGCTTATGCTGTTTTATGGCCTGGAACTAAAGCCTGCCAGGCAGGCAATTACTAAGGCCTTTTTTCCAGACCTTTAGTTTTTTCCCATGAGATTGGGTCCATCCCCAGGGCAGGGGACAATAGCACGGACCAACTTTCCTCTTGGTAGAAAGAGAAAAATACTAGAGGTGTAATTCATACTCAGATGGCTACATTAAAATAGGAAGGTTAGAAGTACTGGCTTTCCTTTTCTCTTTTCCAAATTGACTCAGTGATGACAGACTTCTGTTTTATTTAAGTTTAAAGAACATATTTATTGGCTAATAATACTATAGTAGGCACGGGGGTGTAAGAAAGAACTAGAGGTTGTATTTCTTGTCTTAAATTAACACTCACTGAAGCAGTGATACACAAAATAAAAAAACTAGAAAAGGGGTAACAGTGGCCAAAGCTAAATAAATTCTAAACATCTAGGTTTAGAGTCAGAATGTGGGGGATGAAGTAAGCTAAAGATCTTGATAACCTCCTGCTCCGTGCAAGGGATCCTATTGGACAGATCCTAGTGGCTAACTTAGCTCGAGCACTGTAAAGAGGTGATGAATCCCCGATGCTGGGATCCTTCATAAACTGGCTACAGAGACCAAGGCCAACTGACTTTTAGTAGATGGTTTTTGTGCACTTAAAATCTTAGCAGTATTTTTGTGTCTTACACATAAAAAAATAAGGCAGCCCCTGAAAAGGTTTTGTTATTTTTACTGCCTCATCTCTCAGTGATGAAGGCACAGCCTGAGCCTGATAACTTCTGGGAGAAGGCAAGGAAAATTAGTTCAAGGTCATTTTAATGCCTCCTTCTCCTCTGAAGGCAGAATTAGGAGAGCAGAGTCTACATCTGTTCACCCACTCCTTTGTTCAACAACTATTTTGAGAATATTTGTGGGTTCCTATGATGTGCTGTGCCTTGAAGAAGGTACCTTTCTCTCTGACACCCGGAGTCAGTGGTGAGCCTGAATAATCATTGCTTCTCTTGGTCATTTTGATGCAATGGAACCAAGGTTCCTGAGAATGCAGCCTATCAGGAAACCTGCCTTAACATCTCTCTAACAAATCCCTGGGCTCTGGGATACTCTGTGGGCTAAATCTCCCAGCAATGCAATACTCATTAAATAGAATGAAAAGCTGTCTAATGAGGCCTTAAGATCTGCTGTGGGAGTGTGAATGTATTAATTGCACATTTGGGTCACCATCCATCTTAGTATCCTTGCCAGATTTGATGTTCTTCATAAAAGTTTAGGTGAAATAGAGCATGAAGTGGGGGGGGGGTCCTTGTGAACACACGGCGTCATCAGTCACAAAACTGTCTTAGTGTTTTTGAGGTGCCACATCCCCTTATAACTTACCTCTTGAAAATTGTCAATTTGCTCCTGTTACCTGTGATTGTGTCTGAATTTTTGGAACAGTGTTGCATCCCTGGCACCAAGGAGTCATAATTCAAGACTCATTTCTGCATGTATGCAGCATAGGAACATGAGGAGCATCTCATAGATCTGGCTATGCTCTGCCATCCCCAAGATAATAGGGGACAGATACTGGTTGGCTATACGCCCTTATTTTCAAATAAGACAGTTTTGGGGAAAAATTTTTGTTTTGAAAACTGCAGAGAACTGTAGTATTATTAATGATTCTCTCCATAACTCTGAATTCCTCAGAAACAAGGAAAGAAATGTGATTGTTTTTTCTCCTTTATTCTTAAATGGCCTGACATACATGTGTTGAGTAAATCCTTTAAAAGAATCAAGGGGCATCTATATCTGCAACTTCCTTTGGTTGTGCTTCATGGCATTCTGTTCAAGGTTTATCTGCATGCTTTTTGACTTCTTTGTATTTGTACTTGTATATTGCCTGGGAAGTTTAAGTATTTTAAGTATGCTTAATGGGAGAATTGACCCTTGGGAAATTATAATGGTTCTTTTTTCCTTTTTCATTCATTCAACAAATATTTACTCAGCGTCTCTCTATTTCCATCACACAAAAATGTTCTGGCCAGGACAAGATAAGGTTACTGCTCATCCTGTGGAGCTTATAAATTTCTAATGGGGGTGGTAGCAGGAAGTGGGAGCTGGGAGAAACACCATGCACAGTCACCAGGTGAATTGAGCAAGACAGTCTTAGGCAGTGGCAAATATAAAGAAGATAAAGATGACGTGTGGTGGTGCCAGGTGTGGAGAAGTGATGGAATGGCTGGTTTAGATTACATGGTGAGAAATGACTTCACTGAGGAGGTGACTTTCCCCTGAGGAACAGTCTCTTCCTGAGAAATCCTTTAAATCAGATTTTACAAGAATGACTCATCCTTAAACCTACTTTTTCCTAGTTGAATGTATAAAACTGCTAGTTACTCTCACTATGAAGCCAAAGAAATGCTGGAGTAAAAGACATCTTCTTTATCTGTAGGAGAGATGTTCCTAGGTATTTGAAAGCAACTAACACCTATTTTGTCCAGCTTGTGTTTTTGTCCAATGTTATCTCGCCATTTATGGCAGGGCATTTAGAATACTTGTAATCACAAGTATTGACTGACTGCCTCTGTCTCTCTATTCCTCTATGCATCCATCCATCTACCCCTTTATTTTTTTCTTTGTGAAAAAGCAACTCCAGGAGAAAACAATTTAACAAATAAATCAATACTTTATGCTTGATCACACACGTGCACACGCACGCACACACACACACGCACACACGCACACACACACACGCACACACGCACACACACTGTAAAAGCTGTAATGAAAAAAGAAATCCAACCTTCTGTAACAGTAAAACCAGTTTAAAGCTCCCGGAATGGTTTAGAGCTCACAACAAGCTCTAGCTACTGAGTGGAGCATTTAGGCATGGCTGGATGCTGGGTTAAACTACTCTGCAGTCTGTTGGCGGAACCGCAGGGCTGGCACACAGGTGGGACTTTCAGAGTCTATTTTCCAAGGGTTCCAAACGTTGCTGCTCAGAGGGTTACCAGCAAGATCTGTAGGTAATCAGGCAGTGCAAGGTATAGTCAGAAGTCCTGGAGAAGGGGTTGGGGAGTAGAAGATAGATGGAAAAGAAAGGAAAAAGAAGCCAGAGGGGCCCACTGTGAGATATGGCAAGACAGTTGTCTCAGAAAGGTACCTGTACAGAAGTGGCCAACCTCAGCTACATGCTGAGAAGCAGTCTGCACAGAGAAGGCGCTTACAGAGATCATTACATGAATAAAATAACATTCTAGAAAAGGACTAATGATTAATCGGTTTTCAATATTTGGATCAAATGACTCCTTGATTTTGTTATTTTAATCTTCAGATGATCATGCTATTTGTCCTGATAGTGACTACCATGATTTCTTATCATTTCTGTTGGTATCTGGAATGAAAAATGACTTTTCATGACAATTCATACCTTTGTTTATTTAAAAATATTTGACAGTGAATGATCTAACAATAAATTTAAAACAATCCTCTCTAACTGTTCTCCATTACATTTCTACCCTATTAATAATTAACCCCCAACCTTCCACAGTTTCAGATATAAAACATATATGTTAATGAATGAAATTGCTGGGGTCAGAGTTTCCAGGAAGTTATAATGTTAAACAAAAAATGGAAAACGTGTCCTGAAAAGCAATGAAGTTCCTAGTGGGCTTACTAAGTTTCAGGAAAAGAAAATTATTTGAGAAAAGTTATAATAAAACCCCATACTAACTGACTCACTGAAATGGGGGTAGATCTAGCACATATATTTTTAGAATTTTCATTTTTTTTTTCACTTTGTCCCATAGCTCCTCTGGATAAAGAAGATTGTGCATCAGTCACAGACCTGCCCAATTCCTTTGCGGGCCAAGTTACCATAAGTAAGTATTTCTTCTCATCTTGACTGAGTTTTCCCATTCTCAGAGGCATCAGGTGTGTTCTCTCCTTTACATTTGAATAAAATGTTAGTCATTTCCCTAAGGCTAGGGAAGGTTGAGTGTGCCTCAGTGTCACTTCTCCTTTTCCTGTGTTTCACCCCATGCACTGCTTTACCCCATACACTGTTCTTCAAACTTAATCATTTCAGAACCACTTTCCCGTATTTTGGGCATAGCTGTGTACTACCTAGCACTATCACTTACTTTTTGTTTTAATTGGCCTGTTCTCTTTTACTTAAAATGCATTTGTTTTGAAAAAGAAACTGCAGAAAAGAAACCAGCATTACTTTTCCTAACCACAAGGTAACCTTAAAATCAATTTAAATGTAAGAAAAAGTAAATACTGTTTTTCACTTGTGGCTGCGGCAGGTTGTGAGCATGAGCTGGGCTTTTCCTCATAGAAGGATTGAGAAGTGTCAGGCATAGATGCATTCTGGCTCCAAATGGGGATTTGCTCTCACTGAATATGGGAAGATATTCATATGGAGTATTTGATGTGGATTTCAACATTATTTTACCACACTCCCCTTAAATCATGTTGGTTATCTGCAGAAGTATGCAAATGGTAGTTTAGAAAACAAAAAAATATCAAATAGGTCAGCCCTGATCGTATTTACCTTTAATCATTATTTCTTTGGGCAGTAGCATAGAATTGAGGGGGTCTGATTTCTGCATCCTCAGAATCATGCACCAACAAGGTGGCTGGGTGTGAAGGTAACAGTAGTAGGGGGATGGGAATCTTCCCAGACCATATGAATCCAGCCTCCCCTTGGAAGGAACTGTCTTTGCTCTATGTCTTGGAATAGCAAGGGGAGGCTTCCTTTTCTATTGGCTACTGTGTAATATGTGATGTACCAGTTGGGCTTGATTTGAAATTTTATTTCCTCACCACCTGTGTGATCTTAGAGGCATGACTTACCTTTTCTAAACTTCAGTTTTCTATTATGAAAAATAGCACAATATATTAGAATTGTTGTGAAACTTAAGAAATATTATGTCTAATGCCTGCCTGGGCCATAGTAAATATTCAGTTAATGTCAAATTTCCATGGTGCCCATGAATCTCTTTTAAAGGCCAGGTTTGGGGATGGTGAATGCTATGGTTTGAATATGTCCCTTCAAAGTTTATGTCATATGTTTATGGATTTGGAGTTGGGGCTTTGGGGCAGTAATTAAGATTAGATGCAGTCAAGAGGGTAGAGCCCCTATGATGCATTAGTAGCGTTATTAGAAGAGAATGACCTGAGCTATCACACCTGCTCTGTCTTAACACATATGTACTCTTCATATTATGATATAGCAAGAAGACACTACCAGGTGCCAGCATCCTGCTCTTAGACTTCCTAGCCCAGCCCTCAGAGCCATGAGCCCAGTAATCTTCTATTCTTCATAGATTACCTGGTCTCAAGTATTTCATTATAGCAACAGAAAATAGACTAAACCAGTAATGTTTCTGTTTTAAATCTTCACCTGCAGAGATTATGAAGGTGTTAAGACTTTGGATTTGTGCTATGCTAATAGTTCCACTTAAGCAAGCTTGGTAGGTGGACAGAAGGAATATTTAGTTTTGCCAATATAGTTCAGCAGAAAATCATTTCAACTATATGCACCAATGTAGTGACTGGCCCCAATTTGATGGCAGCAAATCTTTTCAGGAAAAATCAGTGAATAAATTCATCTGTAGTATTTCTCTTCTGGTCCATTCTAGTCATTTGCCTGTGTAAGCCAAAGATTTTAATCTTTACACAATCTGTGCTTGCCAATTTCAAGACTGAATTTTAGAGGATGGCAGAAGCTCTGTCAGTATTTAGGCACACTAATTTCTCAGCCAGGAGTGTGGGTTTACTTAACCAAAACTTGTTGCTTAGAAAGAAAATGTTTTTTCATGGATTTGCAGATATATCTTCCTTGTGGAGTTTATTAGTCTGCTATTTCAAATCTTTTATGGAAATAGATAGAATTAGTAACAACAAATTTGACATATACTTCAGAAGGTACAGTCAGGAGCCAAATGGGGTAATTTTTATTTATTGAGCATCTATTTATTTTGAATACTGCATTGAACACTTTACTTACTGTATATCACATAAGGCCAATAACAACTTCATCTAGAAAATAATATCCTTGCTTTACAGAAGAGAAAACTGAAGGTCACTAGGTTACCACGTGTAGAACTACATGGAACTGGGACTCAAACATGGGTAGACCCCAACACCTCTTCTTTTACCTCCTCATTTCTAGGATTTTGAGGTGTCTTAGTTATTTTCTCACAATACCCAACACCCACAAGTTAATGGAGAAAAGGTTTATTTCAGTTTGCAGTTCATAGATGTTTCAGTCCTTAGTTGGCTGGCTCCAACACAGGGGGAATAGTAGAGGAGAAACAGTTCATGGTGTAGCAGGCAGAAGGTAGCAAGTGGCAGGCAGCAACAGTGAAAACTCCCTTTCCCTTTTATCTCATCCAGGCTACAAGCTTTTTAGGTGGTGTCCCACCCCATACCCAGGATGAAGCTTCCCATTATCAATGCCCAGAATGATAATAAACCAATTAGTAGACCAATCTAGTATCACACACCCGTAATCCTAGTAACACATCCTTAACTCACATTCACACTCTGGATCCAGCCGCCTCTAAAAAGCCTCACCTATGCATTCATGAGGCTTCGGGGGGACATCTAGATACAAAACATAACATGAGAGCGCACAAGAATCTTCTTTTTTCTTGCATCAGCCACTGTATCTCACCACTAAATAAATAGGTATTCTCTTTAATGAAAAAGAATATAGCTTCAAAGTCACTATTTTGCATGACAGTCCACAGACTTCCCTATACTCAAAAACTATCAGCTGGGAAGTTCTGAAAATATCTTTTCCTTCCCTAAGCTATTGTCAACCGTGATGGCACCCGCTACAGCAAGAAAGGAGAATACAGAACACACCAAGAAGACATCAACCCCAACAGCACTATTGATGATGATGTGAGCGGTGGATACCCTGGTGAAAGGAGCACTTCAGGAGGTTACAGCATCTTCCACACTCACCTTCCAACCTCACACCCAACCCCTGAGGAGGCAATCACTGAGGTCTACGGGAGTACCAGTAAGGAGCCTGAATCACTGTGCTTTCTGATAGCAATTCTGTGGCAAGACATCTGTGATCTCCCTGTATCATATGCACTCAAGAGTTGATTTTCTCTTGTTTCTAGATATCTAGACATGAGTGACTTCATTTGGGGAGGTGGGCTACTGTGCTTGTCAGTGCTTTGTGTGCATTGATTAGTGTTGCCTACAATCTTTGTCCTCCATCTACATTTCTGTTTTCTCACACTGGGGGAGATGTGTCATTTTGTAGGTTTGATGTTTATTTATTTGCTTTTGAAAGAGCCCATCTCAATTTATTCTCTTGTCCCTGGGGATAGGGGGAAACTTCAAATCTGATATAGGAGCAGTTTCTACTTTTGCTTATTATCTTTCTTTCTTCCACAATGGGTAACACTGTTTTCAAAGAAGTGGGATCATAGAGTACACATGCCTTCCTATAGGCTCCTTTTTCTACCTAGCTTTGTATTTTCGTGCTTCGTGTTTTTACACTCAAGTTATTGATTGCATACTATTCAGTCATATTCGTCAGTGATGATTTACTAAACAATTCCTTTGTTTTGGAGGAGTTTTCTGATCAGATATATCAGTTTCAGAGTTCTATACTCCAGTCTGCTGGGTAAGGTCCTTGATGCTTTTCTGGTGTGTGAGAACTGCAAGATTGGAACACTGTGAACACTGCATTAGGGGGCTTTGAGTTCGTGTGTTTGGGCTGCAGTTTCATCTGAAGTGGAAAGTGCTTACATCTCCTTCTTCATCTCCCTTTCTATGTTTATCTTCATTTTGTTTTAAAACAGGTTTCTGAATTGGCTGTGTCCTTTCTGTGGAGGATTATTCAAACCCAGACAGGTCCTCTGTATCTTGAGAGGGTTTCCAGTATGGTTTGGATTTTCTTTTTTCCCAACTTTGCCTCCTAAGAGGTGGATCTCTGGCCTCCAGACAGCGTGGCACAAATTCACTGAATACTCAAGACAGGGTCCTTTCTCTTGCTTGTCACCCAAAAGTCAGGAGAACCTCCACAGGTCTCTGATTGAATCTTAGGTGACTTGCCCAACGGTGCTTTAAATTTTCTAGCAGCTTTCTGAGGGGTGGATACGAATAGGCTTGGAGTTCTGGTCATTTCTGAAAAGTTTCTTGAAGCACTTGAAAAAGCAGATCTGCCCCAACTTTCCATGCTTTCTGGGCTGTGGGTCTCTGGAGATGGAAACACCTCAGGAGAGGCTTCTAACAGCAAAGCAGGCAGTGCTGCTGGCTGCTCCCTGCTCCATAACTTGCTACTCCCCCTGTCTTTTCTTTCAGAACTGGGTTTTAAAACTGGAGTCTTTGCACTGAGCTCCATTCTCAGCCATTTTTTATTTTTTATTTTGAGACAAGTTTGCACTAAGTCACTAAATTGCCCAGGGTGGGCTCAAACTTGCAACCCTCCTGCCTCACCCACTCAGAGTGCTGGGATTACAGGTGTCTGCCGTCATACATAGTTTGCCTGCCTTTTCAGTCTAACCATGTTGAAGACATTTCTCATTAGAGCCCAAAATTTTGTCAGATGTTGGCAAATAGTAATTAGTGATCTCTGCAAGGAACAGAACAGGTATAACCTAAGGTCCCATTTTCCACCAAAGAAGAAAATCCTACCAAAATATGTCCTGTAGGGATTAGATGAAATTAACATTCATGCTGCAAATAGTCTATAAAGCAGTGTCTCAAGAAAGAGAGAGAGTGAGAGAGAGAGAGAGAAAGAGAGAGAGAGAGAAAGAAAGAAAAAGAAAGAGAGAGAAAGAGAGGAAGGAAGACAGGAAGGAAGAAATACTGAAGAGAAGTCAGGGTGAGTGAGGGTTTTCATTCTTTCAGCCAATATTTGTAGTCATCTCTGTGTCAAATACTGCTCTTGTGGTTACTAAGGCTCAGGGGAGACGGCTTATCTTCACAGATAAGACATCCTAGCTCAGAAATCAAAGAAAGGGAGTGTGTGAGACTTAACTAAAATAGAGGTAAGGATTTGAGTTGAGCAAAGAATTTTACTTTCCTCCTTACAGAGAACATTTAGCTAAGTTTACTTTTAACAGAGTTATCAAAGAAAGAGACTTAATTTGTCCACCAGGGTTAGTCAGGGGTATCTCAAGAGTAACTGAAGCTGGACGTGGTGGCGCACGCCTGTAATCCCAGCACTCAGAAGGCTGAGGCAGGAGGATTGTTGTGAGTTCAAGACCAGCCTGGGCTACAAAGTGATCTCAAGGCCAGCTTGAACTGAACAGCAAGACCCTGTCTCAAAAAGACAAAAAAAAAAAAAAAAAAAAAGAAAATCAAAGGATGGAAAACAATTTTCCATGCAACAGGAACCCAGCAAAAAGCAGGAGTAGCAATTCTTTTCTCACGCAATGTCAACTTCAAACCAAGAATAATTAAAAAAGATAAACAAGGTCAGTACATATTTGTTAGGGGAAAACTGCAAATACATACAAATGCACCAAATGTGGGAGCACCCAACTATATAAGACAAAATTTAATAGTTGTAAAAAATCAAATAAGT